TCTAGCGTTTCTTGGTTTGTGACTTGAAGTAGTTTAGTGTTTGAGATTGTATCTGACAAGAAAATTTTGATAATTCTATTTAGACATGTGTGGTGGAAGATGGATAGCTTGTGTCCATCCTTTTTGGCCATTCTCCAGTATTCTGCTCCATAAAGAAGAACTGGCAAAATGATGCTCTTGTAGAGTGGGAGTTTCGTTTCTCTGCAGTAAGTGATGATAGTGTCGAGTGTTATTTTAATGTTCGACAAAATCACAGCCGGGCTCCCTGAGAAGGCGGTGGGAAACATCTACTCTCCCCTTATTTCTTCGAAAAGCTTCCCCAGTTTACAAGACGACACGGAGTAGATCACGCACACAAACTATGACATACACGCAAAAATAAGGGTTTATTGTTGTAATCAGACGACAGTGGATACAGACTTGCATTGTTTGACGACCGCACCTTTGGGTCTGAATCAGGAGACGCGATGGCTTCTGTCGAAGGTCACACATTTAAAGACTCCTATTTCTGTCTATAAGTTAATGTGAATGAATAAAAGCTTCCTGGGTGGTGTGTAGTCATGGGTTGTGGGAAATACTAAATGTCTACTCTAAAGTGTAAGGAGGAACTGAGTTGAGTTGAGTCAAGAATTGACATCACAGCACTCGGGGCATTCCCATGGATGCTCCGTCCTCATCTTCAGAAGCCAGCGCAGAGTTCCAGTACTGATGGTACCGGTCACAGTATGGTTATATGTCCGTCTTGCCCTTTCTCTGAGTGCAGTGAGCCGGCCACACTCTGGTTTTACCCAGGTACCTCATTCTCTCCAGGCCATAATAATCTTCTTTCTCTGCTGATTCCGTTGCTTGTTCCCAAAGGGCAGTGTAAGGAAGAATGATAATGCAAGCAAGTCGGGTTAGTTACTTACTTCATACATCAATGACTTAGTTTCCCACATCTTTCCATGTAGAATTGTGAACTGCTAAACTACTTCTCATCCCACTGCTAGTGCTTCTGTTGTTGCTGCTACTACTACTTCTCCTTTTTTCAGATTTCTTCTTTCTTCTTCTTCCTTTTCTTCTTCTTCTTCTTCTTCTTCTTCTTCTTCTTCTTCTTCTTCTTCTTCTTCTTCTTCTTCTTCTTCTTCTTCTTCTTCCTCCTTCTTTTCTTCTTCTTCTTGCTCTTCTTTTTCTTCTTCTACCTTCTCTTTCTCCTCTTCCTCTTTTGTCATCATCACCACCATTATAATCATCATCTTCTTCTTCTCCTCTTCCTTTATCGTCTCCTCCTTCTCCTATGATCATAATGGTTCCTCCATGACTAGGATGACCATAATAGCTTAAGCTGAAAACAGGACATTCCATTAATATTCTGAGCTGAAAACGGGACATTCCAATAATATTCTGAGCTGAAAACGTCAGACCCCATTAATATTCTGACATTAATGTGGGTGTTGTTTTTTAATACGGACACAAGACACATTTAAAAATACGAGACCGCCCAGGTAATAACGGGACATGTGTTTGCCCTATCCGTTACAGACTCCAACCCGATGCCCAAAGGGAGACCACATATCAAGTGCGGATTACTAAAATATGACTATTGCGACATGCTTGTTTAAGGTCAGTGAGTCTATTCTTTTCCCTGATAAGGCCCAGAATACCAAGCACAACCTTGCACTACTTGGCAAATAATAAATGATTTTCCTCGTTCAGAGTGGCATACTTCCCTTCGGAGATCACGGGAGAGGAACGTTGTCTGGATCTTTTCTTCGTGTTTTGTCGCTGTGTTAGGAAATGAACAGACAGACGAACTGGTTGGCTAAGCGCAACTTGGTGGAATATTGACGCACGAAAGGGCAGACGTGGTTAGGGCCTTGTGTGATAACGTGTACAATTCGTAGGACTAAATGGATCCCCACGGTCTAGTGAGAGTGATGCAGCGGTTAGTGACGAGGGAATCTGGTGAGCGTGATGCAGCGGTTAGTGACAAGGGAATCTGGCCGATACTCGACGCTCATGGGAAAGGCACGGCGGACGTATAATCAAATTGCTACTGGCACCACTAGTTTTGAGAACTCTGCGCTGGCTGCTAAAGATGGGGACATAGCGCTTATGGAAAGTCCCGACTGCTATTTAGAGTATTGGAATAACAGCCTATGGCGATGGTAAATTAAGGCTATCCGGCCTTGTGAAGTAATAAATAAGCTGATTATGTCACAGCAATAGGATTATGTCGGTGAGATTTAGGGATTCCATCAGCGGGATAATGTCAGTGGGAGTATGTCGGTGGAACTGTAATAGTGGAATTGTGTCAGTGGGATTCTTACGATGGGATTGTGTCAATGGGATTCTTACGATGGGATTGTGTCAATGGGATTCTTACGGTGGGATTATGTCAATGGGATTCTGTGGGTGGAACTGTATCAAGTGGGGATTATGACAGTTCTTACGGTGGGATATGTGAGTCCAATATTCTACATGTGGGAATCGCTAGCAGAAAAGATTGACGGTGGGATTATGTCAATGGGATCATGTCGGAGAGGGATGAGTTTATACAAGAGAGGGATAATACAAGAGAGGGATGGCAAATATGAGGGATAATACATGACAAGAGAGAGATAATACAAAGACAAGAGAGGGATAACACAAGAGGCTGTACAAGAGAGGAATAATACAGAAGCCTGTGAACCAGCATGACGATTAACGCAACTCGGCATAGACTACAAGAAAGAAATAATACAAGAAAGGAATAATACAAGAGAGGGATAACACAGGAGAGGAATAATACAAGAAAGGGATAAAACAATTAAACTCCAGACGCAAGGCAAATCACGTCACTTGGTGGATAACACAGAGAGGGATAATACAAGAGAGGGATAACACAAGAGAGGGATAACACAAGAGAGGGATAAACAAGAGAGGGTATTAAAATTGTGAGCAAGCCTACATTTTTTCTACGAGGTAAATCTGGTGGCATTTTCCCTACTCGTATTCTTCTTCCTCTTCGCTTTCTCTTTCACCGCTTTGCAAGCATCACTTCAGAGGTTCCGGCTAGTTAGCATCCTCATGCCGGTGTGTTGGAAAATGAGTAGGCAGATAGACTGGCTGGCTCTGCACCACTGGTGGTGAATTGATGTATGACAAGCTAGATATTGTGAGGGTCCTGTGGGAGCGAGTAAACAGTGCCGAGGCGTAGATAGATCGACGGCCATCTCTAGATATAAATAGTCTGAAGATGGGCGTGATAGATCATTACGGTCTGAGGGGAATGGTTTTGCGAGGAGTTACCAGGGGATCTGGCCCACCCTCAACACTCAAGGGAAGGACGGATATACAATCAGACGGTTACTTGTAGCATTGAAATTGGAACTTTTTGCTTGCTGCTGAAGACGGGGACTGAGCACTTATGGGAGTGTCCCGAGTGCTGTAATGTCGATTCTTAATTTAACATTCAAAATTTTACCGCTTCGGGTTTCGAGAGAGACATAAGGTTCTGCTTCCTTCTCTTCTGACCGCCTCGACTGTAGCCACACGGCGCTTGGTTGTGTTTCTTCGATGTCTATCCTATTTGTTCTTGGTCTACCCGGTGATCTACGTTCTGCTCTTGCTCTTGTGTGTGTGTGTGTGTGTGTGTGTGTGTGTGTGTGTGTGTGTGTGTGTGTGTGTGCGTGCGTGCGTGCGTGCGTACGTGCGCGCGCCTTGTATGGTATGGCTTCACTAGACATTTTCTCTACGTGGGTAAACCATTTGATTTACTCTCTTTGTGTGTTATTAGTTCTGTGCCGACTCTTTCTGCTGTGACTTCATTCTTGATTTGATCTCTTCTGGTCACTCCTGCAGCAATTCTTAAACATCTCTTTTCGTGGTCAGTAATTTTCTCTTTTTGGTTTATTACGGCTGACCATGTCTGGCACTGGTAGCATAGGATGGGAAATTAATATGTTTTATTTTAGATATTTTTGTGTGGGAGGGGAAGGGGGTGCTTGCAGGGACTGTCGTATGTTGTAGGGGGAGGGGGTGGGTGGCAGGGGGGCCTAGCTCTCACAACAGATTCTAAAAATATGCAGTCAGCTCAAATTACCACAGCTTAATAAAACATTGTTTACGTTTCTCACGAGCTTTCAGTCTAATGACCTGCAAACAGAATGACATTACTTCAGACGCGATGTCCACCAGCGTACAATGGAGCTGCACCCAGGTCTGTTGAATACAATTATCTTGTCAAGTAGTTTACTAAGTGGGCTCCACCATCAGACATCTCGCTCTGATACAATCAAGTGAGGGGGGACATTCCACTGCAATATTTGTAACAAGTTCTGCTATTTTTATCACTACTTCTCTCGAGTACATTGTAAGACATGCCCATATAAGGCTACTACGTATCCGAGATATTTCATTCATCATTTTACATGCTTGGAATATTTTAAACCCTAATACAACTAGGTCAACTTTTCAGTTTTGCCGCGCTGATTTGTTCAAATACCCTAAATAGAATTCTAAAGAAATGAAAATACTGGTCAGAGTTAAAAAGCTTTTTGCACGATACATTTCCAGTTCTGTAACAAGGGCGGGTCCTGTTTTAAACTAGAGTACATAATGTAAAGACGCATAGAATGTAAAACTCTCTTCTCTGACGAAAGAGGAAAAACTGTTTTTATGTGGCGCACTTTTAACACGTGGGTGTCTCATTATGGCGGGTCTCGGGAAATAGTATGTCCATATATGGCAGACAATGAGATAAAGATACATTCTGGAGACGCGAGGTCGTGTTACACAAGTTGGCGGGGAGATGCGGGGTAGGAAGAAGTGTCATTGAGAATGTTTTCCGCAGTTTTTTTGTGTGTGGAGTCTTTAGATAACACCCACCAATCATCTTGGCTGAACTGGTATATAAGACCCACCGTTTGGCCAAACAGCATTCAGACTCGTACGCTGATCGTACAAAGATCTTACTGGAGAAGACTACAGTTAAAGACTGACTAAAGAAACGAATTATTATTATTCCACAAGTGAACACCATGGGATTCCACGGAGCTTTTCTACTGGCAGTCATTGTAAGTAACAAATTTCGTATTGGTTTGAAAGCACAACTGTCAACAAGACACATCGACTCCCAGGGGTTGTAGATTTCTGAGCATCAGTCTCGCGGTCTGGACAAATGTTGAGAGTCTGTGATGTTGGTGTGCATTTTCTAATTAGAAAACAATATTATTATTGGGGAAGGAGGGAGCCTTATAGAGATAAAGTCTCGCTTAAGTTCGTAATTTACACACGGACGCATGTATATTTACATACATGATGTGCCTGGTAGACCCAGTCCTAATTTGGTGCCAGGAAAGGTTATGAAAAGTAAAGGCGGCCGACATGATATTGACCACATCACCCACCAAGTGCTGGTTGGTCTATAAAAAATATACTTTTGTTAATACTTGCTAGTCACACTCGCTCTCACTATGAGCTGGAGTCCCATGCCCCTTCACGGCGCAATATAACACTTTCGTCTGTAAAGACGGGAAGGTGCCAGTCGAATGTGTATGTGTGTGTGTGTGTGTGTGTGTGTGTGTGTGTGTGTGTGTGTGTATGTGTGTGTGTGATGACTGGCACATAGCTTATAATAATAAATAAGAAGGAGTCGCTTAGCAACCTTACAATTTTTAGAGCGGGTGGTGTGTTTGTGTGGATCAGTTCTCCATCTGTCCGCGATCATTGTCATAATCATCTTCATCATCGTCGTCATATTATTCACACAAGAAGTTATGGTTGAATATTATTATTTCTTCATTTGGTATTCCAGGCCATGACATCATCCAGAACCTACTCGACTCCGATCACCACTCACTGTGGCAAGCCAGCCGATGTTGTCTTTGTCATCGACATCTCGTCGTCCATCTGGCCCAGAGAATTCAACAAATACGCCCTGACATTCCTCCAGAACGTGGTGAGCATGTTCAACGTGGGTCCCGGAGAGAACCAGACTCGAGTGGGTGCAGTCACCTTCAGCACCGACGTCAGGCTGGAGTTCAATCTCAACTCCTACATGAAGAAGTCAGACGTTCTTGGCGCTATTTCCAAGATCAGAGTCACCGGAGGCAACACGTTCACAGACAAAGCCTTAAAGTACGTTGCTGCCAACATGTTCAGTGAGAAGAATGGTGGCCGACCTGATGTGGCCGATATTATTATTGTGTTGACGGACGGCAAGTCTAGCAGTCCAGCGAAAACAATAATTGAAGCTGAAAATGCACGCCAGCGTGGAGCAGCCATCTTTTCTATTGGAGTTGGAGAAGCTGATGACACCGAGTTGATGCAGATCGCGAGCTCACCGCCGAGTCAGTTTAAGTTCAAAGTGACCGATTTCGCTGCTTTGGACAGCATCATGTTGGAGCTGGCGCTCAAGGCTTGTGAAGGTAAGGCAGGACAAAAAGGATCGTTGTATGAAGAAACATTTAAAAAAAAAAAGAAGGAAAAAAATTGAAGAAAGAAAGAAAGAGTGTGTGTTGTGTGCGCGTCCAGAATGGTAGACAAACATTTTAATATTCGTGTGAAGAGAGAAAGGGGGGTAATGTAGGTAGATCGAAAGGTAGAGTACACACACAGAGATATAGAGAGAGGGAGAGAGAGGAGAATGGAGACAATATTTACTATACAATGAAAGGGAAGACTAGGGAGTTATCATCATTTACATTTGTTACGTATAATTTGAATCCTTTTGTCGGGAAAGCTAACCCGGTCAACAAATGCCTGCAGAAATCGGACGAAAGGCGCAAATATCGCTGCCATGCTGTAAACGGGCACCAGGTAGTTACATCTTCGGATGAAGGCAGATTAAGAGGAAGAATCCTTTTGCATATGACGATTTAAAACAAACCAACAAACGGCAACACTTTGTTAAAAGACAAATAAGAGAAGAAACAATGTATATGTACATACACAATGGTTTCTGCAATTTAAAAAAAATATATATAAATATATATATATATATAATATTAACATATATATATTATTTATGATATATAAAATATACTACAACTTACATATATATGAAATTTGACTTTTGGGCTAGACAAATTTCTCAGGACGTTCATTTTTTGTTATTCTAAATCTGGCTTTTGACGTAAAAAAGAAAGAATTACTACTGAACTTTCTGGGAATCTCTCACGGTGATCCTCATCCGCATGGTGGCATGTGAAACAAATGACCTTTTGATGGGTGGGTACGTAATGAATATTTAGAAGGACGCATGAATTTTTGCGTTGCTGGCCGAAACGTGAGGATTACATGGGCAGGATTGTGATATTTCAGATTTTAGTTTAAAACTATATTTTTGTGTAATTTTTCACTGATTATTTAAACACTGGCAGAAATGTTCGCTTGTGTTCTCTCTCTCTCTCTCTCTCTCTCTCTCTCTCTCTCTCTCTCTCTCTCTCTCTCTCTCTCTCTCTCTCTCTCTCTTTATCTCGTTTTCTCTCTCTTTTGATCTTTCTCTTAATCTTCCTAATTATATAAATATATATTAAAACATGTTTGCCATATTTTTTTAGAATAACTAATTTCGTTTTTCTAAAATTTTCAGTTGAAACACCCCAGACCACTACCACAACAACTACAACCACAACTGCAACCACAACTACTACCCAACCTGCCAATGGTAAGTTTGTGAATGTTTTTGCCTACAGAACTATCATCAGTCTGACTGACGTCTAAGATTCCTTTCGTTCACAATCACTTTCACTATACTACCTATGTGGGTTCCGGGGCCCTATTGAAGGGAAAACAAGAATAGACCCACTGCTTCCCCAAACAAGCATGTCGCAAGAGTCGACTATTTACAGCTTTTTTTTTTTTTAAGTTAGAGTACATCTGCCTGAGATACAAGGAACCAACAATCTGCATACAACGTCAGATCTGTTAAACTGATGTGCACGCAACACAGTCAGGTTCTGGAACAGAGGTGAACAAACAACTAGAACTATCTGCCGGTGTTTACAACCAGTAAACGCAAAGAAGAAAAAGAAGACTTTCACTATTCAACATCTCCAAAAGTGCTTTTGTAGATCGCATAACTATATTCTCAGCACAGTGAACGATCTCCGTAGCACAGACGAACCCCAAGTGAATATAAAGAATCAAACAACCTATACATTTTATTTTCATTGTATGGATCTCTTTCGCTTTTGTTTAATTTGCAATAGCTTATTCAATGGTACATTCTCTTCTATTTTTGTATTCACTGAGGTTTTTCACGTACTCAGAATGCACTTAGCGGCGTCCGTGGCTAAGGCGTTGCGAGTCTGACTCGTAATCTGCGTGGATTATTATCGTGGTATGGGACGTCGCAGGTCGACCCAGCCTCAAATGGGTACTAGGATGCGCTGTCCCGGGAAGGTAAAGACGGCCGGCGTAATGCTGACCCCATTACCCACCGAGTGCCGATTGGTCTGTAAAAATATGGGTGCTCTTCCCATATGCCCGATGCGCCTAAGGGCGTGTAAAGGGATCTTTACTTTTACTTTTTACAGAATGCACTTAAATAAAAAGAGGGGGAACCATTGAGGCCGTTAAATATTATATATTAATAAAGTACATTATATTGTCCAGTGTGTTCTTCTATCTTCTACTTCTTTCTATGAGTGCCGATCAATACATGCATTGTCTTTTACTTTATTAATATAAAATATTTAACTTGTTATGTTGTCTAATGTGCTTTATCTTTCTACTTCTTTCTGTGAGTGCCGATCAATACATTGTCTGTTACTTTATTAATATATCAGAATGCCCATGAGTCATCCGATTGGTACCGACTGTCAACAGAGAGGTTCAGAGATAGGTATGAAATTAAAAGATAACAGGAAATATGTCGGATAACAGGACATATAAAGCTGCAGACACATATTACTCCAACTTGAACCTTCAGCGAAGTGACAGCATCATTTCAAGAAAACCACTTTTCGCATGTGCTGTGGTTGCTAGTGATTAGCTTGTACATTTATCTTCTTGTGTCTACTTCCTTCTTATATAAGCGTCAAAAAACGTATAGAAAAAGATGACGGTGATAATAACAACCTGATTATTTTTTTTTTTGTTAAGGTAGGCAGTACAATGGTGATAACACTGACATTAGCAACCACAAGACAACAGTCACAATGTTACTGACTAACCTTTTCTGTTTATTCCCTTTAGAGTGCGGCGGGAAACCCAGCAGATATATTTTTCGTGCTCGACTCGTCCAGCAGTATATGGAAACCCGACTTTGAGAAACGAATGTTGGGATTTGTCCGTGACGTGGTGGCCAGTTTTGACATTGGTCGAGACCTGACGAGGGTTGGTGTCATGACATTCAGCGACACGCCTAGGCTGGTGATTGGTCTAGACTCTTACACCAACAAACAAGACCTTCTCCAAGCCATTTCACCGCAAATCGTCAGATACACTTTGGGCGGCACCAACACGGCTGAAGCTCTTCAGGATGTCCGGAAAAATGGCTTCCACGAATCAATCACAAGAGAGGGAGTAGTCAAAATTGCTATTGTAATCACCGACGGTCAATCATGGAACGAGAAGAAGACCATCAAAGAAGCTGAACTTCTGAAGGAAAATGGCGTCAAGGTCTATGCCATTGGTGTTGGTAAGGCTGTGAAACAAGAAGAACTTGAAGGCATCGCAAATCAACCCAAGGAGGAGTTTGTGTTCAGTGTCAACGACTTTGGGGCTCTGTCAGAAATCAAAGACACCCTTGCCGTGAAAGCCTGCGGATATGAGGAAGCATTTAAAGATCAGCCAGGTAACAGATTTGTCCCGTAATTTTTTTTTATTTTTTTTAAATTTCATTTTTTATTAATAAAAATTTGTTTACGTAGTTTGGTGTTAATCACTCCCAAATACTGAGTTAAATTTCTTTCTCACCTTGACTCCACAACATGTCCATAATATTATTATTCTTAGGAAGAAATATTTAATTTTCCCCTGACCACAATCGGGTGTGGGACTAATGGCTTAACCACTTCCATGTTTGTTTGTTTTTGTAAATATTATTATATTATAAGTATCGCAATTTATCAGTATACCAAAACTATCTTTACCTTTAAAAAAATTAATCTTATTTTAAATAATTTCTCTAACATATTGGTATCTGATGATTGTGAGAGTTACAGCATCCCATAACGATATTTAACAGTTACCCTCTCTGTGTCCCCAGTGTGTGGCAGCGGACCTACAGACATCACGTTCGCATTTGATGCCAGCACTTTGACCGTGAAAAACAAACACCAAACCCTCGGCCAGATACAAGACTTCACCAAAAGACTCTCTTCCATAAATGGCGACGTGAGAATCGGGGTCACTTCTGGACCCTGTCCACCCAGCATGGATTTCCCGCCATCCGTTCCCAGCGACGCTAGCGATAAACTACGTCGCGTTAAGAGATCGATAAGGTCAAACGTTTTGGGTGTTGTGAAACAATGGCGGCACAAAACTGTCGGCGATCTAAAGAAAACGTCATCAGAGGAAGGCGTCAGCAAGTACGACTCTGACCCCGCGTTTTATGCTTCCAAGAAAGGACTGGTCCTTCTCCTGAACAAAGACAACGTGCCAGAATTCCGCCACCTCAAGGAGGAGGTTCTGCTGCTGATCGACTCGGGCGTCGAAGTGATGGTGGTGCTAGACGAGTCTGTAGAGAGAAAAGAAGTCGACAGGTGGACGGAGCTGATTGGTCACAGGAGAGTGTTGTCAGGGGTTGATCCAAACAACGATTACTCTGGTTACGTTATGGAGTTTGTCTGCTCGTTGTAGGGTCGATCAATGATTGAGATGTTTAGTAGAATCAGGATATAGAATACAGACTTGTTGCATATTATTTACCTCAACATATTCCTGTCGTGAATTATGAGATTTCTCAGATCAACAGAAAGATATACGTGTATGATCAACTGTCACGTACGGCAACTTCACAACAAACTTAGAATAATCACAAGATAAAGACAATCTGTTGGTCAAGCTGCAAATAAGAACATTGGAGAAAAAATTAAAGTTAAAAAAGATAGCGATAACGTCACAACTGCCTAGTGGAAAGTATGAAAGATATAAATTAAAGCTGAAAATAATATTTAAGATTATTTTTTGAAAACTAATAGACGGAGTGGCATCGATAGAACCTCACAAGGGTATAAACAAAAACTGAAGATCATCACATGGCACACCAAACAATTAAGATAAAATAGAAAGCTTCAGGCAAGACCATGAGTCTGTACTCCTACCTTCAAATGATCACAGCAACCTGTAGAAAGAACAGGTGTACCTTTACCTAGGGTCAACTAGACAGTTAGTAGTATTATAGAACTGAATGTACGCGGAAACTTTTATGATATTGTGTACATATATCAACATGATATTATATCTGAGTATGATGCAGTCCCCTACCTTTTGATTTAGAAGTAGACACCCGGTTACAAACACATACTAAGATATTACCAGTCAAAGTACCACTATCTTTGTGTTCATTTTTACTCAGATTACAATGTCATTTATTTGTTACTGAACATGGGACAACATGTTCCTACCTGTGGGGTGTCCCAGTATAAATGTTTTATACAGCTGAATGGAAGTTGTGGGTTCGTTTTTGGTTGGGTTCGCAGCTGAATTGTTATTGCTATTCACTGGGTGTCAGCCTTTCAGTTTACAATTCTGGAAAGATTTGGTTACTAATCGTATGACATTGATGTACATTCACTCATCTCTCTCGGGTCCTTCGAGTACTGCAGTTTGTCAAAACGATAATTTTATCAAGTACAAGTTTTGTCTTTTTTCCCCAATATCTGCTGAGTCCGCAAACTGTTTCTGGGGTTGACTATTTAGTCCGCTGAGTTTCAAAGCTTTACACTAAAAAACTCTGTAGTCGTTATTTTAGAGTTCATGCAGGTATAACTAATGGCCTTTTTGTTTCGTTTTCAGGTCACTATATTTCATAACTATAATTTCAATCACACTTGTCTGCATATTTGTTTACATCTATTAACTTATCTGCTATCTGAGTTAGCTTAGTACTACATGTTAACTGAGCTGTTATTTAAATAACTAACGACTTAACGTGTGAGCTAACAGTGAAAAAACAGTTCACCTTTAAATTATGTTTATGGTGTCATTTGTTAATGTGTTTGATTTCAATTCGAATGTCATTTTCTTGGTGCAATAGTTTACATTTAATACTACATTCACATGAGCTTTAATTTATTCTACCGTGTGTGTAAAAGTTGACTGACTGTAATGTGTAACAAATACACATATTCAGACTGTTAAAGTAAATGTTGTCTAACTGTAATATGTACCAGATATGGACATTTTAAGTGGGAATGTAAACACTGATTGATTGTAATGTGTAGCAAATACATCTTCAGAGTGTTTATGTAAATGATGGCTGACTGTAGTGTGTAACATATACACTTATTTTTTTATCTAAAGTGTTTCACTTGACCATTTTGTAAATATATAAAAAATATGCATTTGTTTACATGAGATTATTTGCTAATTGTTTTAAAAAAAATAAATGATAAAATATTTCATGAGAGAGTCATTTGTTTACCATGAGTATTTGTGATTTGGTGAAACAACATATAATCTTGGAAGTCATGGTAGCTCAGTCGCTAGGCCACTCGTGTTGGCATAGAAGCTATTTGTTCAAATCACCTTAGAAGCAGCGACTTTCTTCTTCTTCAGTATTCTGCTCCCTTGAGGTTCATTGCTGCAGTTATCACCTGTGCCCATTTATATCTTGTCATTTTCCTTCTCTTTTCAGTTGGCAATTCCTAGTGTCTGCATGTCTTCCTGTATGTTATCTCCCCACCTTTTTAACCTACCTTGCGGTCTATTCACATTTAACTGTTTTGTCTCTCTGTTATCTGTCATTCTTTCTGTATGGTCAAGTCACTTCAGTCCATTGACCCTCTCGATGCCAGTAAGCAATGGTGATTTTAACAGATTATGAGTTTTGTCACTGCTTCTCACTTTTCATTCTCCACTGTTTTCATATTTAATGAGTCCAATGATTCGTCATTTACACTCTTTTCTCAAAAGTTTGTGATCCCTGCAAGGGTTCCAGGGTCCCATTGTTGCATAAACAAGAACAGACCCACTGAGCATGTAGTAGGAGTCGACTAATTGGAGGCTTCCTTCAAAGTCGGGGTGCATCTGCCTGAGCAGCAAGCAACAACCAAATGCACACAAATGAGCTAGTAACACGGATGTACACGCAAAACTCAGGGCCTGGCACAAAGCCAGAGTCCAAATGGATGAACCAGGACTTTCCGTCGCAGCTTACAGCTGGTGAACAAAGAAGAAGCGGTTTTTCTAGGCACATATTACGTTCAGTAATTTGCCAGTGCTTTCTGAACGGTGAGCTCCTGATACCACTGTCGAAACCAAAGTGTCCGCAGCTGGGATGGAACGCGGAATCACCCAAGTTCTGAAATACAACTAAAATCCTTAGGTGGATGAATTACCAGAACTTTCCGCTGGAGTTTACAGCCCGTAAAAGCGAAGAAGACTTCATAACTGTTTTGCGGTGCTCCTACATAACTGTGCTATATGGTTAAATAATAGCCGCCGTGGTGGAGCGGCTAGACACTTGCCACGAATCAGAAGTTCGTGGGTTCACTCCCTGGCAGAGCCAGACCTTTTAAAACCACATCACCCATCATGTGCCGATTGGTCCAAAAATATAGGTCTGGCCCCATATGCCCTATACACCTAAAGGCAAGGAAAAGGGTCCTTAACTTTTTTCTCTACTATATGGTTAAATGCAATTTACTGGATTTGTACAGTTCTGATTCTCTCCCTTGAGATATTGATCCAAAAGATCGCAATCCTGGAGGAAACAAACTATTTAAACAAAAACATTTACTACTAAGCACATGATCTGGGAAGTAAATTCACCAATCAACTCCCAGGTGGTCTATACAAAGTTGGAGCTGGCAACATATAATGTAGACAATATGCTTCAAAGTGTGGAAAAAAAAAGGTCTTTTTACTTCCCTTATACACAAAACAGGCAATCACAGTTTCAACTGCATAGTAAACAGGTCACCCCATAGTTGCTCAGTTTCTGTGCCAATGAAAACCACATAGAATGCCCATCACTGTCCCTTGCAGGAAAAAACTGACACAAACTGCAGTCTCAGCATATCAAATAGCATACACATGCATTAAATGCATAAGGCAGCTATAAGATGTACTAACACAAACAGTCTGACACTTGAAATGCAGTCCCTCATCAACGAAAGCAGCTTTAGCAACTGATTGTTGCGCACATGTCACATCAGACATCACATAAAACAATAACATTTCAGGTCCCTCACGAGATACAGCTAAATATACCAAGCAATAAATTGTGCAATCTATAGTTTGTGTCTCTTTTATTCAAATTTACAACGGGAAAACATTGCTGTAATAACACTTCACACCTATCTCTGAATGAAGTTCTCATGTAACTATTGTAGATATGCCCACAGTGTACACCACACTAACATACCTCACAAACAATGTGCAGAAATAAATTCTTTACTGTACAAAACATCTTTAATCAGTTCTTAGTCTTACTACCTTTACTTTTTCCTTTAAATGTGTTCCCCTTTCCTTTAGAATTCCCTTTTCCTTTAAATGAGGTTCCCTTTCCTTTGAATGAGCTCCCTTTTTGAAGCGGTCTCTTCTTTGACCCAGCAGCTTTTTTGGATAGTTTTCCTGCCTTATCTTTCTTGACCTTTTTAAAGTTGACCTTCTTGACAGCTGCCGGCAAATCCCCAAAAATGGAAGACAGCCCGTCCTGTTTTTGGGCATTCTCCTTCTTCTTTTTTATTTTTCGAAACCGCTTCTCCCTTTTGGCTTTCAGGACTGTCTGAAATTTTGAACCTGCGACATTGCTTGGGGCAAAGATAATTTTTCTTGCCGTGGGTTTTCCCGTCTGGTCCTGGTAACTAGTTAAGGAGTGCTAACTGGCAAATAAAGAGACATTTATAAAAAGTTTTTTTTTTCAGCACCTGGAGGTGTTTCTAAAATCTGGTTACATATTCCAACATTGATGAAAACACTGCTTCTTCTTGAGCATAGCCCTCAACCAACCCACACTTTTAATAAGTCGTTTACAACTTGCTTACTAGGCGGACAGTGGATCTATCCCTCCCCCTGAGGAATGAGTCCCTAGAACCCCCACGAAGTCATGAAGTCATAAATCATGGCAAATAAAACAATGCGAAGATAAGAGAAGTCAGTCAACAGGAAGAGCTATCTCTTGAAGGAATGTGATAACACTGAAGAATGTTGAATACCATACAGGAGCAGCAACAGATGGCATGAACCTTTTCTCTAGTACACATGCACTTGGGACATTTCTAACATAACTGCACAAAAGTAGTCCAAGTTTTTAGACCTTGATGTGGTGTTATTTTAATTTTAATATATGCCACTGATAGGTAGAGAACCAGCAAAGACATGGAATGAAAGTTGAATGCATAAATAAAAAAAAATTACTGCTTCAGGAAACTGATGAACATTAAATGGGATGTATTCAAGAAAGACAAAGAAATAAGACACATGTCGGGACAGCTGCTTGTATCGTCAGTTATAGGACACAAAAATATATTTAGCCCAGCATGATGATAAGTGGACCAGGTGGCTGCGTCACTCCTCGAGAATGGAGGATGGCAGAGTCCTTAAGGACATCCTCTACGGTAAATTACAGGTAGAAGATATTTAGGCCGACCTCTATTAGGATATAAAGATGTGTGCAAGCGGGACATGAATGATACAGGTACTGAGGTTGTCTTGTGGGGGGAAAATGCCATGAAGGGGGTGTGGAGGGGGCACATCAGAAAGGGAATGAGAAAGAAGGAAAACATTATTGCAGAAAGGATATGAGCTGAGCGTCTGAAAAGAAACAGACTAAACACAGACAACAACTGTCCTGAAATCCCATGCTATAATTGTGGAAGACTTTTCTTAACACAGGCAGGTCTTATTAGTTACACTCGCCATCACTATGGGCTGAGCCCCATCCCTCTTCATAGCGCAATATAACAATATCATCTGGAAAGACGGAAAGGCGCCAATTATATTAAGCCCAGCATGAGGAAAACTGGATAAAATCAATAAGCAAGCGCTGAAATGGGAAAAATATGGAGTGAAGAAATTAAGATGTGTAAGGAAAACCACAAGCTGAATGTTGCTGAGAGGGGCAAAAGTTGCTGGTCTTGATTCCATCCCTGATATAGAACTGCACGAGATACTCGAGAATGGAAGAATATGCGAGTATGTGACTACATCAGATAACGCTCAACAAGATGATGTGACACGGTGATTACCCCTGGGTTACTACAGCCCATAGGTGAAAAGATAATAACACATTTACAAATGACTTGCCATGAGTTAATAATTTAGCCTTACAAAATAGGAACAAGGAAATGTTCTAGCATATGGTTAGAAAGAAAGAAAATAAAAGAGGCAGGGGTCGAACAGCATGAAAGTGGGCAGTGGACATTACAGCAGTGGTTTCCAAACATTTTCACTTGCAGATCCTGTTTTTAGAAAAAATGTATATGGCCAAGCCCAGCAGGCCTACAGTACCCTATGTCTTACAAGGTAATGGTATTTACAAGTAAGTGATTGTTTGTTTGCTTATTCAACGGATTTATATCATGGCACACGGGTGCAACACATAAGTGCTCTGTTCTACTTTTAACTTAAGCCTGAGTCTGATAATCTCGGCGCAGTGCACGAACTCTGTTGCACCGGCAAGGATCCTGAAATACTTTGGGTAGATTTGTAACTCTAAATTTTGCCTGAGCAGCGGAGTTAGGCTACTCTTTCCGATTTTTACCTGCGCAACAATACACATGGGCATTGCAATATTATTATCCAGAGACCAGGAAAAATCCCAGCTTTCACCAGGGTATGAACCCGGGACCTCAGTACTTGACGTGGACACCATACCTCTACTCAGCCACCATATTTTACAAGCAATGTTTAGGAGAGGAGGAAGGACAGACTCCCTTTGGTGTAAAGTGAAGAGATAAATAAACAACTGTGCATGTCCATGCAATGATATTATGTTTCAAAAATGAAATTTACTGTAAAAGCTTTTTTTTTCTCAACAACCTTCTTCTTCTTCTCCGCATCCATGAGCTGTAAACTCAGACAGAAGGTTCTGGTTGTTCAACCACCTCTGCGGTTTAGTCCCAGGAACTGAGTGTTGCTTGCATATCTGCTTCACATATCTGACTTATTTGTGTGCAGACTGTTGGTACCTTGCCTCTCAGGCAGATGCACTCCGACTTCAAAAGAAGCTTCTAGTTAGTCAACTCTTACAACATGCTTGTCAGGGAGGCAGTGGGTCTATTCTCGTTTTCTTGACAAAGGTACCCCGGACCCACATGTGGATCTCAGCTATCACTAGTACACATGATACTGTCAAAACCTGGCCATATGTTCTGAAGTGACTGCAGAACCCATATAAAGTGCGCACAGATCTCTTAGAAGAGCATCAGCTGGCAACTGCTGCATTAGAGACACCCTAGGGATGAAGATACCTTTCCATCCAGCACAGTTATGCAAAAGACTATTGGATGGTGGTGACATGATAACAAAAGCAAACCTAAAAAAGGATACATTAGATTTGCTCTTCTTTGTTGTCTGAATGTCCTTCTTCTTGGGTTTGCTGACGCAGACCATCACTCGAATCTCTCTCCCTAGCAACGCTGACTTGTTTAATTTCAGTGCCAATCCCACAGAATCCTTCGACTGAAACAGAAACAGATCATAAATGTCAGTTACCATAGCAATGCAACACCATCATGTGCCATAATGATAAGCTTGGGTGGTTACTGTTCTCAATCCTGTATAATAGAACTATAGTATCACAGTGGAGGGAGGCAAACAGGCAAGCCCAAAGGCTTTAATTTGGTTTGAATCAGCACTGAGGCAGATTTTTAAATAAATGTCCTCTGTGACACCTGCACTAACACAGCGAGGCATCCACACTAACCCTCTGGGGCATCCACACTAACCCCCATGTGGCATCCACACCAACCCCTTGCGGTACGCACACTAATCCCCATGTCGCATCCACTTTAACCCTCTGTGGCACCAATGCTGTGGCACACTAGCCCTATGTGGCAAACACACTAACCCTCTGTCCCACCACACCAATAGCAAAGCGCATCCATGAGGTGTCCACTTATCCTAGTAGATTCTCAGTCCCCTGAGATGTCTTCCATCCTGTACCATGTGAAGTTTCCCCTGCAATTTCCCCTTTGAAGAGTGAATGGTGGCATTTCTCAAAACTTTCCAGCCAAACGGTCTCGGAGACTAAACGGCTGAGCCATATGGCTTGCACTCTGAAGCTCGTGGTTCATTTCACGGACAGCGTCATTCACTTCATGAGTCCAATTTTTGGTTCCCTGGGAAATGCTGCTGTGGCTTTAGACTTTGTACTTTATACGACGCTTTCAGCTGTCAGTTAGCCATTCTGCAGAGGAATACTGAGCAATATGGTATAAAACATACTGCAAACCTTCTCAACCTTAAATTCCAGCCATATGACTGCAGTTTAATTTAATTGTGTTATTTTTATGAGATCAGGAGTTCGCAGGGATTCATTATCATATGGTAAAGAAACGATCCAAAGTTTACCAATCTAAAGAAATAAACAATCGTTACCTCAAACTGCACGTAGCAGATGCCTTTGCCGAGGTTGGTTAACCGGTCTCTGATAATTCTCACGTTAGTTATTTCACCGCAGTCAGTGAAGTGAGCTCTAATGACCTCTTCAGTGACAGCTGGGAGAACATAAAGTATCAGTGAGAAACTGGCTCAGGCCAGGAGTTTTAGCAAACCTAAAAACTCTAACAAGCTGACAGCTCAAGTCTCAAGATAGAACTATACAATGGTAAATTGTGAACTCTTACAAGCTAGGATTTACAATCATCACAAATTACCAGAAAGTGATAAATTCTCACAAAATCGGAGCTTAAGTCAACATAAAACATCTCCAAATCATATAAAAAATGATAGAAAAAAACAAATCAAATATCCCTCTTCAAGTCAGATGAATCCTAAAAAGTGATAGAAATTAGATGCAGTCAGGTTGGGTTTTTTTTGTCCGACCTGTTATGAGATGGACTAGAGAACTTGGTGTCAACAAGGAAGACTGAAGAAAAACACAGAGAGACAAAGAGATGAATACTTGAACGGTTTTGGGTGAGGTGAGACAAGAGTACTGATCTACACTGTGATTCTGGTGATCGGTGAGGTGGTCACACATGTCATTATGATTCTGGTGATCATGTGAGGTGGTGAGACATGACACTGTGATTCTGGTGATCGTGTGAGGTGGTGAGACATGACACTGGGATTCTGGTGATCATCTGAGGTGGTGAGACATGACACTGTGATTCTGGTGATCGTGTGAGGTGGTGAGACATGACACTGTGATTCTGGTGATTGTGTGAGGTGGTGAGACATGACACTATGATTCTGGTGATCATGTGAGGTGGTGAGAAATGATGATGGGATTTTAGTGATCATGTGATTCTGGTGATCGACATGTGAGGTGGTGAGAGAGGCATGACACTATGATTTGTCTGGTGATTGTTCTGAGGTGGTGAGTGGACATGACACTTTTTGCCAGAGTTTACAGCTGGTGAAAGTGAAGAAGAAAAATCTGCACCGAGCCCAACCTATAGAATCATCAGCCTAGCATCATATGCCTGATGTGTAAAAAGGGTCCTTTTCTTGACGCTGTTGTGCTTATTTCGGCAGAGATGCAACACCTTCACCTTTCTGCCGACACCTCCGACTTCTTTGTGCAGACCCGAATCGTCTGAGCTACTTGCAGCATCAGTCTTGAATGGATGCTCTTCCTGTGACACGTCACAATAACATACTGAATGTGAAATTCAGTGACACAATTTTCTCCTTCGCCTCCTTCCGTCTGTTACAGAACTTGCCATGTATAGGTTCCAGGGCCCAATGTCGGAGGAAAAAAAACAGACCTACAGCGACCATGCCCTCCCCCCACCCCCAAAAATCATTCGTAAAAGTTTACTAATGAGGGGCATTTCCTTCAAAGTCAGACTGCATCTGCCCAAGATGCAGGGAACCAACCGTTTGCATACAAATAAGCCATATCTGTAAAATGGATGTGCACACAAAACTCAGTTTTTGATCAAGTCTAAGGTCCAGAAATGGACGAAGAACAAGAACTTTCTGCCAGAATTTAGGGCCGGTTTGAGCAAAGAAAGAAGATAAACAAGTTTTATGGGCACATCTATTTTACAGATCAAGGTGAGTTAAATGCAGACTGATGGTTTCCACACCTCTTAGGCGGATGCTCCGAAACACCCCTATTAGTTTCCATCCAAGATAGACTGGGAGTGTGGGTGTCTATTCAAACCCCCCCCCCCCCCCTTTCCTTTCCAACCAGGGCTGTAGAACCCAGACACTGGGTTAAGATGGCCAGTTTCATGCCAAGCCTCCACAATCAGCTCAAAAGACAAGCATGGTAAGTTACACTGTTACTATGCTTTCATGACAAGCCTCATAGATATGGGTGCATGAGCAGACTGGTGAAATACTTACTAAAGGGCAGATTCCCCACAAAGATGGATCTTTTCTTATCATGCTGTAACAAAGATGTGAGACAACAGAGGTCATGATATATAACAGTAATTCTGATTATGCTGTGAACACAGGTAGAGCTTTTGGAGACAACTAAACATAATTCCAGGCAACCAAAAGGTGAACAAAAGAGGCTGGTATTAGGACACACATGAAGAAAACAATATGACTAGAATGTCCTCACACAGGCTGAGTTGTCCTGGGAGTCCAGGTTACCACACACACACACAAAAATCATAAAACATAGAGTCTGATTCACTGTTCTTTTGAAAGCTGCAGTGGTGTAGCAGCAACTGAATGCTTACTTGTTGGCCAAAAGGTAACGGGTTTGAATCCGCACCAAATTAAACTTTTTTTAAACGATAACATTAGCTCCCAGGTCGACCAAGTTTAAAATGGGTACCAGGTAAAGTTCCTGGATACAGAGGTAGCATGGATTATGCTGACCCCCATAAAAGGCCAATTAGTCTATAACAATATGCCTGGCATCATATGTCTGATGTGCCACTGGCATGAAAAGGGTTATTTACTTCACGTTACTGTTCTTCTATGGCTTAGTTTTACAGCTCTTCTATAACCTAGTTCTATTGTTCTCATAAACAGGGGGTGACTGCTATCAAACGGATGACAAGTGCTAAATATCATAAAATGTAACTAGTGAGCTCATCGAGGAACTGAAAAAGAAGAGCACAAACACAATTCAACGTTCTGTTCTCATAGGCTAGTTAAGTTCTTCAACAGCCATTCCCCCGTAAGGGTTGGGATTTTTTAACGTGAACTTGGACTTATAGTATTTCCCCTGAAAATCCCCTTAGCAGTTGGAAATTGAAAAGAATAGCCTAACCGCGATGAGCTTCTTCGGACTTGAGTTAGAAGAAAGAAGGAAGCACTTATGGGTTACTACCTGTGTGTGTCATGATGTTAATCCGTTGTTCAAACTTCAAACACCATTTTTGTTTGCTCGTTTATAGGCATGCTCTAGTTCAACTGTTCTTACAGGCCTAATTCTGTTGTTTTTATACAGCCTAGTTCTACTGTTCTCATATAGCCAAGTACTGTTACTTTGATGTTGCTTGATTATACCATTCTTATCTTCTTCTTCTTTACCTTCATTGGCTGTAAACTCTGGCGAAAGTTCTGGCTGTTCGTCCACTTTTGGACTGCAGTCCTGTTTCAGAACCTGAGTGTTGTGTGTTCATCCATTTGACAGATCTCATTTACATGCAGACTGTATGTTCCTTGCCTTTCAGGCAGATGCACTCTGACTTCGAAGGAAACTCCCAATTAGTCGACTCTTACGACATGCTTTTGGGTAGGCAGTGGGTATATTCTTGTTTTCCCTTATAATAGGGCCCTAGAACACACACTGGGAATATCATTCTTATATTGCTCAGTTCTTATGCTCATATAATCCAGTACTACATGTGAGCTGAGCTGCAGTTGCCCCACCTGACCACTGTGTTAGATCTGTTACATACCTTCTTAGCCAGGCCTGCCAAATCCACCCTAAGGTGCAGGCCATCTAACAAGTATCCATTCCTGTGAAAGATACACGCGACAGTGAAGTGAAAAATACATACAATAGTGAAGTGAAAGATACACACAACAGTGAAGTGAAAGATACACACAATAGTGAAGTGAAAGATACACACAATAGTGAAGTGAAAGATACACACAATAGTGAAGTGAAAGATACACACAATAGTGAAGTGAAAGATACACACAATAGTGAAGTGAAAGATACATAAAATAGTGAAGTGAAGGATACACACAATAGTGAAGTGAAAGATACACACAATAGTTAAGATTGCATGAAGAGCATTTCATTAAAAAAATCACTTTAACTGCACACAGATATCTGTATAAGTGCTTCAGTCTTCCACATATTTCAAAAGGAAAGCACCACCAGCACAGTGCACACAAACTCTGCAGCCCTAGTGAGGATCCCAATGTATGTACAGAAATCACATGGGCTTTACATATTTTGGTATAGGTTTTCTAATTTAGACACTTTGCCTGAGCATCATCAGATTCCATTTTCAACTTGGGTGGAGGTGGAATCTTTACCATAAAGAACATGCACACAAGTCCATCAGGTTTTTTTTTTCTGCCACCATCCAAGAAGGCTAGATGTATGAACCAACGCCCTAGGATCAAAGATGAGTTAAAAATTTGTATTTCTTATTTTTGTAATGATCCAGTCAGTACTGGGAGATGAACCAGTCAGTACTGGGAGATGAACCAGTCAGTACTGGGAGATGATCCAGTCAGATGATCCAGTCAGTACTGGGAGATGAACCAGTCAGTACTGGGAGATGATCCAGTCAGTACTGGGAGATGATCCAGTCAGTACTGGGAGATGATCCAGTCAGTACTGGAAGATGATCCAGTCAGTACTGGGAGATGAACCAGTCAGTACTGGGGGATGATCCAGTCAGTACTGGGAGATGATCCAGTCAGTACTGGGAGATGATCCAGCCACAGACATAGACTGTCATCTCTGATCTACTCTCCAACCAGAGAAAAGCTTCCACAGCAAATAACTTAATATCTGGTAGCAAAGTGGCTGATGTACTTGTTTAAACAAGTGTCTTCCTGTGCCTTTCCCTTTGTTTCTGTGTGAATTCTAGGGCCTCTTTGGGGGGGGGGGGGGGGGGGGCACAGACCCAATGCTCTTAACAAGTATGTCAAAGAAGATTACTAATTAGGATTTTGCTGAAATTGGATGTGTTGGGCCGAAAGCTGGAGACATTGCAACCATGGTGTAAATAAAAACACAGTGTGCCAACCACCATTTGAAGCGTGGAAGCAGAAAAAGAAATTGCCTAAATGCATGATAAACGTGTAAATATTTCTGTATATATAAATTTGTACAGTATATTTTGAATGTATTACAAACTTTGGAAAGTTTCTGTCGAATAAATATTTATAGTATACACTATCAGAACACCATGGACAAAGAGGAAAAACTGACATCCTTAAAGATCTGAATATGAAGGAAGACTGGCTGGTAAACAGCATCTTGTCTCAGAAGCTGAAATATATTGGCCACATCTAGCACCATTGTGGATAAGAAAAAAAATTATAGCAGACGGTACCAGGAAGAAAGGGGCAGCAAAAAGATGGGTACAGGATAAAACTGAGTCCTGGGGTACAGGGGTGCATGAGGTGGGAGACTGAGTTTCATTCATGCAGACCGATAAGAGTGACATTCTAAAAAGAACCTGTTACATGATGATGAGTACACGGTATTATATATAGTACATTAAAAGTATTACAAACTTGTGAATGTTTCTTTAAGTTTATAGATTCTGTCTCTCTGCTCATACATATTCATAATTAATGCTTCATCCTGTCTTCCAACTTGAATCACTGCTTATCTCTGGCTTAACAGCCTTCAATGCTACCCTCTGGCATATCCTGTATAAATATATCTGTCTTGTTATGTGGACAGAATATCTCGTTTTATTTGATACAGACAAATTCACACTTACCTGGCTAGGGCTTTCTTTGCTGCACTCTCTTCCTTAAAGACAACGTAGGAGATAAAATTGTCACACTGCTCGTGGAAGTTTTTCCTGTGGATCAAACATTACACAAGAATAATAAACACCAACAAATTCCTACAACAGTCAAAACCACAACAAGAATAATAAACACCAACAAATTCCTACAACAGTCAAAACCACACACAAGAATAATAAACACCAACAAATTCCTGCAACAGTCAAAACCACACACAAGAATAATAAACACCAACAAATTCCTACAACAGTCAAAACCACACACAAGAATAATAAACACCAACAAATTCCTACAACAGTCAAAACCACACACAAGAATAATAAACACCAAAAAATTCCTACAACAGTCAAAACCACACACAAGAATAATAAACACCAACAAATTCCTACAACAGTCAAAACCACACACAAGAATAATAAACTACAACAAATTCCTACAACAGTCAAAACCACACACAAGAATAATAAACACCAACAAATTCCTACAACAGTCAAAACCACACACAAGAATAATAAACACCAACAAATTCCTACAACAGTCAAACCCACACACAAGAATAATAAACTACAACAAATTCCTACAACAGTCAAAACCACACACAAGAATAATAAACTACAACAAATTCCTACAACAGTCAAACCCACACACAAGAATAATAAACACCAACAAATTCCTACAACAGTCAAAACCACACACAAGAATAATAAACACCAACAAATTCCTACAACAGTCAAAACCACACACAAGAATAATAAACTACAACAAATTCCCGCAACAACCACAAGAGTGTTGAAGAAGAAAGGAGTTTTGAGGGTGAGCAATTATGGCATGGCTAGTGTTGCTGTTATGGATAGGTAAGAATTGTATTTTTTATCAGACATAAAAAAAAATTCATTGTCATACTGGGGATTTGAATCTGGGCCTCCTGAAATAGACTTAGACTCCGTCGTTTCTAATCGCTTGGCCATCCACACAAGAATAACCTAGCTATAGTAAACATATGTAAGTATTCTTCTGTTTTTACTCCTCCACCCCAGCAGCTCCTATCAAGCTGATCTATCTTTGCCATCCCCTGCAGCTCCCTCCTTCACGTTCACGTTCACTGGCTGCAAACTCTGGTTGTTCATCCACTTCTGGACTCCAGTTCTGTCCCAGAACCTAAGTGTTGGTTCCCTGCCTCTCAGGCAGATGTACTCCAATTTTGGAGGAAGCTCCCAATTAGTCGACTCTTACGACATGCTTCTGGGCAGGCAGTGGGTTTATTCTTGTTTTTCCCCCACAATGAGGCCCCGGAACCCATACGGGAGCCTCCATGTTGTTTAAATGTCTTTAATTCTCAAAACCATGTTGTTGTTTTCTTTAATTTTAATTTTCTAGTGGATTCCAGTACAAGGACATTCTAGCTAACTTTTACCAAGTTTACATGAGCATTACTCACGTGATTACTATAGCCCGTTTTGGCAAGCTAGGATCTGCTGAGGGCTGCAGAAAGAAAATGAAAACAAAAATTGTTAAACATAATCAAAGAAGAAAACAATTTGTTAAGCATATAAATGAAATTAACTTACACACAAATTTTTCAGAAATATGACTGCCGAGTCCCAGGCTAGACAAGCATATTTTTTTTAAGTAACACAGAAATTGCATAATTTTATAGTAAAAATCAACAACAATGGTTCTCAACAAAACATTAAAACCCGACACATATAGCCTCACTGAACACAGCAGGCAGGCTACACAGCCAGAATAAGAAAAGAAAGATTTAAGCACTGGTAACCTCATGGGTGGACACACACTATGGTAGTCATTTTCCCATAAGCCTTAGTGATATAGGTCATGGGGTTTTGGCATGAGCTAACACACATATTTATTTTAGACCCAGGAAATGTTTCAACCTGGTTGTGTCTACTGATTACCCCTTTATATATCTTTATTTATTCAGAAAATAATTTAAATGCAGATAAATCATCATCATCAAGTGCCTTGCCAGCTGGCATAGGCGTTCTTGCATCGCCACAGATCTCAGTCTATCATGTTCTGCATCAATTCCACTGATGATATTCCTCTGTGCCATTGTCTTCAGCCATCCTCTATTTCTCTTGATCTGCTTCTGCCTCTTCTACCAGTGATCTTTACAGAAGTGAAGGCTGTGTTAAGAAAAGCCTTACATAATCAGTGCATGGGATTTCAGGACCATTTTTGCAGTCACATGCATTTAAAGTGTGCCTTCTTAACCTATCTGTAATCATTTTCCCTTTCATTTGTATTCTCTTGCTGATTTTCAACTCTATGCAACACGGTCCATGGCATCCATATTATAGCAGATAGTTAACATATTACAAAGTTGGGAAAGTCTCTGTTTTTTTTCTGAGAATGTGGATTCAGGACACTGAAGATGCGTTGGCTTGAAAGTACATAGGGCTCAAGAAATTACAGAAAGACAGACTTTCAGGTGTGCTGTGACAAGAACAACATTCTGTAAAGAATCTGCTGACTGATGATGATGAAAAGGCATATGTGAAATGGATTGTAATCTTGTGAATGTTTCTGAAACTTTACAAATGCATTGCAAACTTGTAAAAGTTTACCTTTACATAACATCATAAACTGATTTCAGCAATGAAACCTTACTTACAGCACAACGGAATCTCACAGTCTCAATTTCTCCAAACTCACGGAACACCTGTTTCAATTTCTGTAAAAGATATTCACACAATTAAAACAAATATATCCATTAGGTATTTTGAAAAAAGCTGTTTAATTTCATTTTATTGAAAGCCTCAACAAACTACATAGATAAAATAATCAGTGCCGACTCCACAAACAAGTTTGTCTATAAAGGATCTTCTATTTTAAATGTTCAAACAGGAGGACTTCAATAAGCTGCTCTCTGCCAAAGATCAGTGCTTATTTGACAGTGTAAGTAAACAGCTGCAGGACCACATAAACTAACTACACGACAGTTTTCTTAAACATCATATGATAGGGGAGCTGCGTGGTCTTGAGGCATGGTGTCTGCCTCGAGTGCTGGACGTCCCGGGTTCGGGTAAAGGCTGGGATTTTTTCAAGTGGACTTCTAGTAATCTCCCCTTGTCTGTGGGTAGTGAGATCGGACGCCCGTGTGTATTGTTGCGCACGTAAAAAATATCCCTTGGCAGTTGAAAATCGAAAAGAGTAGTATAACAGCATGGCTCAGGCAGTTAAAAATCTACCTAAAATATTTCAGGAACCTTGCTGGTGCTACAGAGCCCATGCACTGCACTAAGCTACTTTGGACTCAAGACTTGAGTTAGAAGTAGAACGGAGCACTTATGTGTTACTACCCTTGTGCCATGATGTTGATATATTGTTCAAACCTCAAACCATCATTTGAAGAACAATATTTGACAGAAAAAAAAACAGAAGTCATGAGAATAAGCAGAGAACAACAACTTCCGGTCAAAATGGAGACTAGGCACAGCCACTGTTTTGAGCCGCGGCAAATATTTTCGCTTCTGCCAGACGGCGGCCGTTGCATTTTTTGCTCCATTTGTAGCACAAAGGATATAGTTTTGTCACCCAGCTTCTTAGTAGAGTGCACGGCGTGACACTGTGAGCTATGGATTTCATTTGGAATGTTTTTCGACTGTGACCAAGGTGGTGGTGTGAATTGTAGATTCAGAAAATGGCACGATGCCTATTGTCGCAATATTGGTGGTGCCATTATGTGATTAAAATTGATCGGTGTGCAACTGCTAATCTGTTGGTGACTTCTGCTACCATTCACAATGAACTGTATAAAATGTCGGACTGTTTGTGTTAGCACTTCGGATGGCTTCTGTATTTAATGCTTGTGTATGCTAGTGCATATGCTGAGACAGCAGACTGTCAATCTTTCCACAAGGGACTGTAATAAACATTGTGTTTTTTCATTGGCGCAGGAGTGGAGCAACTATGGGGTAACCCGTTTGCTATGAGGTTGAAACTAAGATTACAAGACTAACAGAGAACAACAAACCATCGACATAAAGATCAAAGTTTTTAAACAAGTGCAAGAATTTAAATACTTTGGAAGGATCTTTATACACAATGGTAAAATAGAGATAGAGATGAGAATCCAACAAGCCAACAATGTCACATACCAACTTGCTCTAATTTTAAAACACCCTGCTATCCTAATAAAAAAAAACAAAAAATTTATAAATACAATATTTATACCGACTTTAGATTACTATTGTCAGACTTAGACATTGAAAAATGAACATTGAAGAAAACTAACCACATGTGAGATGAGATGTTTGAGAATAGCTGTGAATGAAACCAGAGGAGATCGAGTGAGAAACGACCTGATCACAAGAGCTGTTCGAACAACACCCATCGTCAAATTTACTGAGAAACAACAAATGAAATGGTTTGGCCATGTAATGAGAACAAAACCAATGATGCCAGAAGCAAGAGTATTCAACATAAAAACTGAAATATCAAGAGGCAGGGGAAGACTGAGAAGAAGATGGATTGAAGGAGTCACTGACACCCTGACACATCACATCATATCGAGCGACTAAGCCAGCCCTGGCTCAGTTGCTGATTGTCTGATGAACTGTGACGCCTAGCGGCATAAGCAGATATTGACAAAAGAAAGAAAAGCTTAACAACATAACCAGAACCAAGATCATTTATACATTTGGAGCTAAGTTAAAAATTACATCAACCGACTTCTCCAAGATGCTCACCTGCAGCCTCCTCTTCTTTTTTTGCTATCTCTGGCTATTAACTCCGGCTAAAATTTCTGATGCGTGCATATCTAATTTACAGATATTATTTATTAGTATGCAGAGTGCTGGTTCCTTGCCTCTCAGAAAGATGCATCATGACTTCAAAGGAAACACTCCCAATCAGTCAATTTTTTTATGACGTGTTTGTAAGGGGTGCAGTGGATCTATTGCCTCCCCTCAATCATGGGGCTCCTGAGCCACACATAGGGAACATGTCAGACTGAAGGGGTGCAGTGGATCTATTGCCTCCCCTCAATCATGGGGCTCCTGAGCCCACATAGGGAACATGTCAGACTGAAAGTCCCACATAGGGAACATGTCAGACTGAAAGTCCCACATAGGGAACATGTCAGACTGAAAGTCCCACATAGGGAACATGTCAGACTGAAAGTCCCACATAGGGAACATGTCAGACTGAAAGTCCCACATAGGGAACATGTCAGACTGAAAGTCTCGGTTCAAATCATTCTGTGGTGGATTTTGGATTTTAAAAACTGACATTGACCCCTGAGTCGATCCAGCCTAAAATGGGTACCAAGGTCGCTGGTTGATCTATAAAAATATGAAAGCAGCATTATATGCCTGATTTGCCACTAGCATAAAAGGGGTCCTTTACTTTTTATTTATTTTACAACTTCACACACATTCAGAGCTAAACAAATATTGCACAACCAACTTCATTTAGAGCTAAACAAATATGACATCAACCAAATTCACACACACATATTAGGAGATAAACAAATAAGATATCAACCAACTTCATACACACAAACACCATCTATTATTTACCTTCTTATCTGCAGTAAGGGGACAGTTGCCAACAAACACAGTTCTGCTGTCCGCATGCCTGTCCCTCTTCCGATCCCTTCGTGCCCTTTTAGCCAACTCTTCACTGTCATTAGTACTGTCCTTCTCCAGCTTACGTTTGAGGGGTTGATGAGAGGTGGCATCTACCTGCCTGGATAAATCCCAAAGGATCATTTCACAAACATGTCCCAAAATTCTCAATTATATGACTATTACGCAAGCGACCCATGGCAATTCTCAGTGAGGTGACGGAGATTTTTTCTGTCGGCGACAAAATTATAAAAATCATAACCTGCACACCTATACAAATAAAAGTCTCTTAGCATATGCCCTCCCTGTGTGGATTCCAGGGCCTTATTATGTAGGCAGGGGATAGACCCAATGCCCACTAACAATCAAAAGATAACCAATGGGTTCTTCCTGAAATAGAATGTGAGGGGCCAAAAACCACAGATATCACAGCCTAGCTGTAAACCACAACACAATGTGCCAACTGCCCTTTTAAGGGTGAATGCAGAAGTACCATATTGCTGATGCGGTAAAGACTTTTTTTTTTTTTTTTAAAAATATGGCTGTTAAAAATGTCATTAAAATTACCAGAGACAAATTAGAGAATAAGTGTGATGAAGAATCAATGTCACTGTACCCAGGAGTGTTAATGGGAGGTCTCCGGGGTGAAGTGGTCAAGCCTCATGCTCTGAAGGCAATGGGTTCGTTTCATGAGTGCAGTTTCTAATGGAGATCCCAAAGCTATGAGTTTATGCTTTATACAATACTCTTGACAGGCAGCTAGCTGTTCTGTGGAAAGAGACCGTGCTAAAAGGGATAGTACCTGGTATAATGAAGTCGATCCTCTCAACTTTACCTTTACTGTAAGACCATACATACGTTGTTCCTAATCACCTGTTTCGTTTAGTTCTTACAAGTTGACACTCTCAATCAAACCAGATCTGCACAAATAAAAGTTAAAGGTTAAAGTGCAGAGGATCGACTTTATTGCACAGGGTTTTAACCCATATAGCTTAGTCTCTCCCCGCAGAACAGCTAGCCGCCTACCGAGAGCGTCATACCGTGCAAAAACTCCATAGCTACAGTGATGATCCCCAGGGATCTTCCTTAAATTTCACTCATGAATCAATGACGCAGCCGTGAATGGAACCCTCAGGTGGCGAGGCAAACAGCTGGACCACTTCGCCACGAAGACCCAAACAAAAATTAGAGGTGGACAGCATACTTCAAGTCATTCTTCCCCAGAGTCATTTCGTGAACATCAACAACATGATCTCTTACCTCTGTTTCACTAAAGTTTGATCAGTTTTTGCACGAGGTGCTAATGTCCTAGACTTTTTTGTGTTTTCTTTATGTCCTTGTTTCTCTGCATGTTCAACCGTCTCTGGTTGCTTCTTCTTCTTCTTCTTTTTGTCTTTTGGTTTAGATAAGGTGCTTTGGTCTAAGGTCTCAGGTGCAGGCAAAATCTGATTGCTGGGCAACAGCGTGGTTTTCTTAAAAATAATGAATAATTATTAACTCTTTTTGTTTCAGAAGTCACATCAGCTGGGGTAATAACAATTACATTATAATATAGATATCTGTATCATAGAAGCTGAATTACAGCATCACCATGGGCTCTTACACATGGCAAAGGTTTTTACATCACCTAACAAATCATGGTCCTTGGTGTTGTGGACCTTTTTCTTCTCCTTGGTGTTAACAAGCTGTAAATTCAAAGAGAAATTTCTGGTTGTGAACTTTATTTGTATGCAGACTCTCAGGCAGATGAACTCCGACTTCGAAAGACTACCCTAATTAGTCGACAACAACGACAGGGGAAGCTCATTTGGGGAGGAGTGAGTATCCCCCCCCCCCCCCAACCCCCTTGGGACCCCAGAATCCATGTCCACATGGGTAAGTGTTATGATCAATTCTATTAAAGGCATTCCATGAAATCATTGATTTAGAACATCCAGCAGCATCATTTCTCTCAGTCTGCCTCTGCCTTTCTACCTCTGATCTTTACAGCTGTCACAATATTCTCCAAAGCCTCATTTTTGTGTCAGTGCTTTGTGCAATGCTCCTGACATGCAACGAGTCATTCTATGGAGAGACAGGCCACATGGGTTAAAACCCAGTGCAATGAAGCCAATATTTTCTACTTAAAACCTTTTAGAACTTTCTTCTGGATAACAGTGCTGGCTTGTCAAGTCAGCTGGAGAGAATTCATATGAAAATTATGAAATAGCATCTGGATGTGACATGCAAGTTAATCTAGTGCAATGAAGCTGATATTTTCTATTTTAAACCTTTTAAAAACTTTCTTCTGGATAATAGTGCTGCCTCGTCATGTCAGCTGGAGAGAATTCATACGGAAATTATGAGATAGCATCTGGATGTGACATGCAGATCAATCAAGTTTGTGGCTCACATGCTCTCACAAGACCAGTGCAAAGATATCCAGTCAGTCTAGGTGGACAATAATTTCTTTTTAACAGTGCAGTGCTGGATGAGTGCTGCAGGATGACCAAGACTACGTTATAAGAACATATGCTAATGCAACCAGGAAATAACATTGACCCACATACTTGGGAGATCAGCTGCAGACTGACTACTAGTAGTAGTCAACAATCTGTCTTTCATAGTAACTAAGGCAGACAATTAAAAACTGATTGTCAAAATTTGCAAGAGGCCATACGCAGTAAGGTATAGAGAGGAGATTTCTGACATAAAACCAGCCTCAGAATAATATTTTCTCTTTTTTGTATGTGGATTACGAGACAGAGACTGCCACCCTCTAAACTGGATTTTACAGTCACTGTTTCCAAAAGCAGCTACTTATGCTGTGATCAAATCCAAGAGGGGATGGCTTCTATCATGTTGGACACAGTTGCTGGTCAGGCTTCTGTTCTTTCTGGTCTACTAACATCAGCAACTAAAACAGTACACCAGAGATCTGTTGTCTTAGTATATATTTACTAGGGGTATTGGAAACTATCAGTCTCTGTCAGAGTCATCAATATCAAAAATGTTCATCTGAGGGCACTGTCTTGCTTTCATTGCATCACCTCTGTAGAAATACAATCAGTCACACAAACACATTTACACACATCATTCTTTATCTCAAACAAGGCTAGATATGCCAGTATAATTTAACCATTCACTGTGACCACTCCCATAGCTTCCATAAATTTCCACTAAACATACCTTCTACTGCATTCATCCTTAAAAGTGTGGTCGGCATGGTCTGTGCTAGTTTACAGCTAGACAGCGATTTTTACAACTGAGGGCTTAACAGATGGGATTTCAGAGAAACCTTACAATTTATTTTACCTTTGGAATGATAACAAGGCGACACGAGATGACATTTGAAAACCATACTTCTTCCTTTCTTTTTTTTTATTTATTGATAAAGACTTTGATCAAAAAGTTTGTTTGGTTGTATGTGTGCAAGTTGTGTTTTTATTTCTTGATATCACAATAATCAGCTTGAATATAGTCACCCTGTGTAGTCCACTGATTCACATTCTGAAGCAAAGACAACCATTAACCAATAGCTATAGTAAGGGTGATCAGCTACACTGGGTGTGCTCTTCCTCTTATTCGTGTCAACTGACTGTTAACTATGGCAGACAGACTGGCTGGATCTGCACCACTGGGTGGTGAAGTGATACATGACAAGGCAGATGTGGTCAAGGATCTTTGGGAACAGGCAAAGGAATTAGTAGAGAAACAAGATTATTTTGGCCTGGAGAGAATGAGGCACCTAGGTGTAACCAGAGGGTCTAGCCAGCTCACTACACTCTGAGGAAAGGCAAGACGGACATATAACCAGACTGTGACCGGTACCATCAGTTTTGGAACTCATCGCTGTCTGCTGAAGATGACGGAGCATGCATGGGAATGCCCCAAGTGTGTGATGTCAATTCTTGAATCAACCCTACTCTGGCAGAAAGTTCTGGTTTTTCGTCCATTTCTGGATGGACTGTAGTCTTGTTCTAGAACTTGAATTATACATGCATATCTGTTTTACATATCTGCATATTTGTATGCAGAGTTTCAATTTATCTCTTCCCAGGCAGATGTGCCCTGACGTTGGAAGGAAAATCCCTTATTAGTCACCTTAAAGAAGGCAGTGGGTCTATCCCCCTCCCCTCCCAAATGGGGTACTGGAACCCAAAGGGGAAATATGGTGTGTTGTTAAAAGCTGCCATCAACAGTGGCGAGAAGTTGGTACGTGCATCTGGCAAAACAATGGCCTGTGTTCAATTCTCACTAAAGCAGCTGCGGGGTTTACTCGGATATATAAATGGGTACCAGAGAATTTTTAGAATAATCTGGCAATTATTTAGAAAAAAAAGGCAATGAAGAATGGAACCAGCCATCTTCACCTCTAATAGCTGATGTCTTCTTCTGCATTCACCTTTGAAAAAGGGTGAAGGCGGCTGATACATTGTTCTGTCTCCAGCTAGGCTGTGATATCTGCAATTTTCTGTCCAAAATATCAAATCTCAACAACCCCTAATTAGTTGTCTCTTTTGACATGCTTGTTAGGAGGCAGTGGGTCTATTCACATGTCCCCTTTCAAAATGGAACATCAGGAACCACCACAGCCAGATAATGTGCATTCCTAACATCTCTGAGGCTATCTTTGCATGTAACCAGTGGACTTAAACTCACCGGGGCAGGCACCACTGGCTTAGAAGAGAATAGTTTTGCCAGATTTCCATCTTTACTAGCAACTTTCTCCTTGGTAGTAAAAAGTGATGCAGAAACTTGTCCTGGTTTGTAGGATTTCATGGTCAGTGTAACCTGAGGAAGATGAAAATCTTGTTATTTATTCAGATTAGGTCCACTGTTATAAGACAGGATAAGATGATATGGTGTAAGTTAGTTGAGGGCGATGCTACATTCGGTTATAAAAGGCAGAGGATGAAGAAGCCTGCTGCATATCTGCCAATAGTGTATATAACGGAAATTAAATCTGTAATTTGTTCTACTTGTATTTTATTTATTAAAATAACTGAGACATGTAAACTGAAAGGAATCATCATCGTGTAGCAAGCCTTTTGCAAAATGGCACTCTAACCAATCTAATGGAAACACGCTAGATTAATGGTCTCCAACTTCTTTCAGGTGGCATGATCTTAAGTATATGACAAGACCCCCCCCCCCCCCTCCACCACCCCCACACAAAAAATGTGATAGAAAAAATGGAGGAATTTGTTATTAATCCATAGTCAGATGCATATCTTATTACATTAATTAGATCTTTAACAGTACACTTACAAACTGCTCATGAAAACAAAGAAGTCCTTGACTTTTTGTTTTATAAAGTTTAAAACCTATTTTATTTATAATTAAACTAAAAAAAAATATTATAACAAATTATTACAACTACAAATGGACTTGTTTTCAAAATTGCTTGACACTCCCTTAGAACTGTTTAATGCCCCCCCCCCCCCTTTTCCAGATTGAAGATCACTGCTCTAGATCCTTAACCAGTTTATATGCCTCACGTATTCTGGCTCTCCTTCAAACTTCGTCCCCATATTATGGCGGCCAAACAAATACCCTAACAGGGTCTCAGTCATATGCAAATTGCGGAGTTCCTGCCGAGGAAGAAATTGCTGCAAAACTAGGATTACTAGACAATTTCAAGGCACGCAACACTACAAACCAGAGTAGCGACCGTTGACAATTTTGAGCGTTCCTGTAGACGATAATAGCGACCATTGTCCAAAGAGCAGATTTTCGGGCACTATTTGCAACTTTTGTGCCACAACTTTCGCAGATAATAACGTTAATTATCGGTAAGTATTTCTCAGTCGTGTGTAAAATGCGGACTTCCTCCGTTGACAATTTTGAGAAACGCAACAATACACACAATAATAGCGACATGGTGGGAAGACTACACACTCAGGCGCAGGTTAGCGATAGTGTTTTTCTGATTAAACTCATCGGCGAGTGTATCCCCCGCGCTGCGGATGGGGGGGCTAAACTAGATGGCTGGGACTCACGAACACAGCTACCGCATCTCCTGCAACTTCCTCCAATTTATTTGCTTGTGAGTCCCAGCCATCTAGTTAAGTCCCCCATCTGCGCTGTGCATAGCAGCATGTGGGATACTGTCGGCGGTGTGACACAGTCGCTGAAACAGGTCCACAGTTAACATATCGCTGAGACCTTGTTAGAGTATTTGTTTGCCCTAGATAATATTGGCCTGTTATTCGGAGGCGATCCTAGTTTTGCTGTGATTTGTTCCACGGCAGGCACTCCACATTTTATACACCACTGAGGCCCTGTTAGAGTATTTGTTTGGGGACGCAGTTCGAAGTAATATAGGGACATAGTTCGAAGGAGAGCCAAAATTGTTCTGCTCAATTCTGCATGTTAGTCAGGAAAATAG